CTTGTAAATTTCACCTGAAAGGGAACTTAAATATTTGGATTATCTGAGCTATTTTTGTGATCCTAGTCGCACTTTTTTTCTGCTGTGACATAAATATCTGCTAATATCAGTTCCAAAACATTTTGTTTTACATGAATATGGTGTAGCCGTGTAGGTAGATGCAACTCTCTTTGTACTATAAAGCTTTAGAAGCTGATCAGAAATGAAAATAATTGAGTGAGAAAGGCTTAAATTGGTTAATCGGCAGATCGGTGATAACTGACAACCAAGAAAGAGGATTCTATTACATGTCTGGTAAGAGCTTTTAGCTTTATAAACATTGCTTTCTTTCATATAAGGCCAAACTATTGGAATGATGTTTCTATATTAGATAAAGACATACCATACATATAGAAGTGCTCTGGTATATTCAAATGTTACTACTTTCATACTGGAACGCAATCACCCATACCCTCATTGGCTGTGTAATGTCTATAGATATGTTACTTTACGGAAGGGTCAATATCCATATAATTACACCAGATAATGCGCCTAGGATCCAGATGCATTACCTACTTATTCCCCCCCCCCCCCCCCCCCAAGAAGGATCTAGAGTCACTATGACTGAACTTTTGGATATCACAGCAGTTGGATTATTTGGCGAAGAATTTTAAGTTCTTGATGACTTCACTAAAATCCTTATAAAAATTACTTTCTGAAATATCTGGTTTCTCAGTGCTTCGCTATGAATTTAATTGTAAGGAGATTTAGTAATATGATTTTGTTGTTCACCATTACTACAAACCCCTATGCTTACCAGGACAAGAGTTTATTTTTCTTCAGCAATGGAAGTTATCTCTTATGTTCCTTTTCATTGTGATGTTGCTCTTTCGAAGGCCTATTGCTTATACAGGCAAAATAAACTGGATCAGGCGTTGGAGTCCTTAAAGGGGCAAGAAGGAAGTACTGCATCAATGCTGTTGGAATCTCAGATTTTATATCGTTTGGGAAAGATGGAAGCTTCTGTGGATATATATCAAAAGCTCCAAAAGTCCCAGATAGACTCCTTAGAAATTAATCTTGTTGCTGGTTTGGTTTCTGCTGGAAGAGCTTCTGATGTGCAGGGAACTCTGGATTCCATCAGAGTTAAAGCAACTAACAATTTTGAATTGGCATATAACACCGCCTGCTCTTTAATGAGAGGCAGAAGTACAAGGATGCTGAGCAACTGCTATTGTCAGCTCGAAGGTAGGAGATTTTTGAAACTTATAATTTACAAGGTCATACATGTCACCGGCACGGTATTTAAGTATTAGTGAATTTGTTAAATCTTGTATTTAGTATGAGATTCTTTTGACAAAGTTGATTTGGAACAGTTAAGAGTAATTCAACATCAAGAAGTGTTGAATCAGCTGAGAACATGTTCCTTTAAGCTAATTAATATAACCCAAGCTACACACTGTGCTGCTGAAGGGCAATTACCTGAATCAAGGATCTACACTGTGTGCCTAGTACCACAAGTCTGAAACAAATATTAATAACCGTGATAAGAGATTGCCTATTCTGTTTCCATGTAGTGCTTGTCTGTGCTGTATTGACTGTAGGGTTTGGAACTTCCAGTTCTTAGTATGTGCTTGGACACAGATGAGAGAACTTGCTGATTTTGCTGGTGAAATAACAGAATTGGTCAGGAAACACTAATGGAGGAGAATTTAGCTGATGATGAGGTTGAAATCGAATTGGCACCCATTGCTGTTCAACTTGCATATGTTCAACAGGTAAAATTATTTTATAACACGACTTTGACTTTTCTCTTTGCCTTGATGTGTTGCAAATACATGAATATCTATCTGTTAGTCCAGATTCTAGCAAACACACAAGAAGCTGTTGCATCTTATACCAACCTCGTGAAAAGAAATTTGGCAGATGAGCCGTCACTTGCTGTGGCAGTAAATAACCTCATCGCTTTGAAAGGTCCTAAGGATGTATCTGATGGCCTAAGGAAACTTGATAAGCTAGTAGAGAAAAGTGATGGACCAGAAAAGTTCCAGCTTGCTCGTGGACTGGACTTGAAGCTTTCTCAAAAGCAAAGGGAAGCTATATACACCAATAGGATGCTACTGCTACTTCATTCTAATAAGATGGATCAGGTAATTAATCTGAAACCTTAACGTTTCATTTTGTTTCTTGTTTTCTTTTTTCAAGGTTAAATGGCAATACATAAGAAGCAAAAAAGAAGACCCCGAGCTACGGCTGGTTATTGCGTGTTCTTCTTTAGATGCTTAATTTTAGTTCATGGATTATTACAGGCTCGAGAACTCGTTGCAGTTTTACCGGATTTATTTCCTGGTAGCTTGATGCCAGTACTTCTTCAAGCTGCTGTGCATGTGCGAGAGAATAAAGCTGGTAAAGCTGAAGAAATACTAGGACATTTTGCAGATAAGTTTCCTGACAAGTGCAAAGTCATCCTGCTTGCAAGGGCACAGGTTGCTGCCGCTGCTGGCCACCCTCAGATTGCAGCTGAGTCTCTGGCAAAAATTCCTGACATCCAACACAAACCTGCAACTGTTGCGACCCTCGTTTCTCTCAAGGAAAGGCAGGAGATATTGATGGTGCCGATGCTGTGTTTGATTCTGCCATCAGATGGTGGTCAAATGCGATGACTGAAAACAATAAGCTCAGTAGCATCATGCAGGAGGCTGCTGCTTTTAAGTTGAGGCATGGAAGAAAGGAGGCGGCGGCACGCCTATATGAGGAGCTTGTGAAAAGCCATGGAAGTATTGAGGCATTGGTTGGGTTGATCCAGACTGCTGCCCATGGAAATGTAGAGAAAGCAGAAGCTTATGAGAAGCAACTAAAACCATTACCCGGCTTGAAATCTATTGATGTCGATAGTTTGGAGAAAACTTCAGGTGCAAAGCATGTTGAGACTGTTCCTAATGTCGGTGTCACTGAACCCAAGAGCAAGGATAAGGCAAAGCAAAAGAGGAAGAGAAAACCGAAATACCCAAAGGGCTTCGATCCAGCCAACCCAGGGCCTCCACCTCATCCAGAGAGGTGGCTTCCGAAGAGGGAAAGGTCTAGTTATAGACCAAAGAGAAAGGACAAGAGAGCAGCTCAAATTAGAGGTTCTCAGGGAGCAGTTACGAAAGAGGCAGCGATAAGTAACGATACAAAATCGAACCAGCCAGCCAATTCCAAAGTAGCCTCTCAGAATGCAAGCACCGAGCAATCCAAGCCTTCATCGAAATCAAGAAAGAAATCTAGGAAGTGATCAAAGAAGTTTCATCAGTTCTTAGTTGTGGTTTTCAGGCTTATAAGGCATATTTTTATGGTGCCTTTAGAGTCTAACCTGAGTCTGTTTCACAACTCTATCTGATCCAAAGAGTTTGTCACTTTATTTTCACAGAAAGTCCTCAGACAGAGAATTCTGCTTGCTCTGAACTATAAGGTAGGAATAATCAGAGGCATGGATGAGTCCTTTGTAACCTTTTTGCTCTTATATGTAAAAGCCTGTCTTATAAGCGGTGGCAGAGCCTGGTTTTACCAAAGTGAAAAAAGTAAACACACGAACATGCCAAGGGGATTCAACATTTCTACCATTTATGCATAAAAAATAATTTTGATCTATTGAATAACCCCCTTCCGCAAGTGATTTTATTTTGTGTCTCACACAACTTACACTAGTTAGGTGAGGCATCTTTTTATTTCACATATTTGTGGGACCCATATCTTACACATCTGGGTCCACAAAAATTCTGGAACCACACAGTTGTGACACAAAAAAGAGGCCTCACACAACTAGTGTCGGTTGTGTGAGTCACAAAATAAAAATTTTCGGTTAATGAATAATTGATAAAGTTCTCTCTAATTTCAATTTAAGGACAGGACAGGTGAATGCTAATTTTGCTTTATACGGAGTACTTTTTGCGATGTACCACAAGAATAGACAACCAATATGTCACTCAAAATGAGAGACTGGTTTTGTCGAATGATATTATTCAATTGAATATAGAGTTTAAGAAAGAAAAGATATTTTTTTTTATACAAAAGCTAAATATGAAAATATTGCAAAGAATGCCATAGTAAGAACTAAGAAACAACTTGTTTTTTTTTAATCAAATGGACACAACAAATCATATCGTTGAAAAAGTGAGAACAAAATAGCCAGCTAATCTGTAAACATGAAAAAGTGCTAATAGTGCCAAGTAAATTGAGATGGCAGTAGCAATAATAAGAGAGAAAAGTGTAATATCTTGACTAAACAAAATTTCCATAAACTCATAAATAAACAAGTATAAAAGCAAATTCTTGTTCCCTTCTACGATATGAAGTTAAGAATAAACAAAAATATTATATAAGAAATAAAAAAGTTTCAAGCTTGTTTGGTAGAGTTATCTATTAATGCAAGGTATGACATAATTGAGGTGCGAACACAGGCGAACATTATTATTATTATTATTATTATTATTATTATTATTATTATTATTATTATTAGGGAGATCTGATTAGACAGGACATGATGTAATTTTAGATTTTCGAGAACACAATCCTTGATAGGAAGGTGTGGAGGTCGCGCATTAGGGTTGTAGGTTAGGAGGTGGTTGAGGCTAGTCCGATAGGATTGTGTCTCCGACTTCTAGTGGTTAATGTTGTGTTCACACTATTCTCTGTTTTTATTGTACCAGACTTTATTTACTGGTTATTATTATTACTTTTCACCTATTTTCCGGTTCTTATGTTGCTGTCATTATTTCATGATTTTTCTATTGATGGTACTGATATAGTATCATTGTCTTGAGCCGAATGTCTTTCGAAAACAACCTCTTTATCCCCTCGGGTAGGGGTAAGGTCTACGTACACATTACGCTCCGCAGACTTTACTTGTGGGATTTTACAGGGTTGTCGTTATTGTTGTTGTATAATTATTAAAAAGAAAAAAAGAAAAAAAATGGAAAAGCATAAGATGCCCACCCACCCCAAACCCACAACCCCTCCAAAATTTTGGACAATTACTACCATTTATATTTGCCACCCCGTATTTCCAAGTTGCCACGCACTTGTTCATTTTTCTTCTCAATCATCTTTGTCCCATTTTTCTCTCATTTTCCACTTTGCAAACTTCCCTTTGAATATCCTAAAAGAAGAAGAAATGGCAGATCAGCTCACAGATGATCAGATCTCTGAATTCAAAGAAGCTTTCAGCCTTTTCGATAAGGATGGAGATGGTCAGCTCTTCACTATTCTTAACATTTTTTTGAATAAAAATTGAATCTTTAATCACTTTTGATAACACCCAGATGCCAAAATTCTTAAATTTGTTGTTTTTTCTCCTATTTATGTGATTATTTTTTCTTCGCCTTGCCTAAATTTGATCCTAGATTTAGAGTCAATGGGTCAGAGTCCTTGCTTTCTATTATATATTTATGTATGTATTTAAATTGTTTGTGTATATATATATATATATATATATATATATATATATATATATATATATATATGGTTTGAGCTAAAAGCAGTGTGATTTGAAGGGCTAGATCCACATGTTGTGTTGCCTTTCCTTGACCAATTTGTGATCTATGAGTGATTTGATGTTGAGTGAGGATAAGTGGATTCGAGGTCGTAAGTACCTGGTGGAATAGTCAAGGTGCAAGCAAGATGACCCGGACACCACAGTAAAAAAGGTGGATCCAATTTTTAAGTGAGTGTGGAAGACCATTGAAATGAAGTGTACCCCTTTGTGAAAATGAGTTTAAACTTATTATAAATTCATAAATATTAGGGAAGATTATTCCATTCAATAGATATAGTTGGAATGGAGACAACAACAACAACATACCCGGTGTAGTCCCATAACTGGGATCTGGGGAGGGTAGTGTCAAGTGTGTACGCAGACCTTACACCTATCTTGTGAAGGTAGAGAGGCTATTTTCGATTGAGCCTCATAGTTGGAATGGAGACCATTGATAGAAATGCACCCACCGCCAAAACCTAGCATCTTTTCATGGTGAGGATGGTAGTCAATTTGTTTCAATACGTGGAGAACTTACGCTTCAAAATGACATTGGAGATGCTCTTTCTTTGTTTTCATTTGGAATATGTTTGATAAAGATTTGATTTTGAACCTTGGTTTTGCTTCAACTTGTGGTCGAAATGGATGTGAGGTTTATCTATGTGAAGTTGGTGGATTTTGAGTGTTGGTCAACAGTAGTCCTTGTTGGTATTGTTAACTTGTTTGATTGATTGTGGGAACTTGAGGATTGTTTAGTTTTGACAAATGGGCAATTTGGGGATTGCATCAGAATGGTGCTGTTGAAATTGTATTTGGCTGAAATCAGTTAACATCTCTTAGAATGGTTGAACCTCTTAGTGTTCCCTAACTAGGGGTCCTTCTGTTGATTCATGATTTTTTTGGTATATAATGGATATAATCCATTTTGTTCAATATGATAACTTGTTGGTGGTGGAATTGTGTAAGTTTTCGTACAATGCTTTAACTTGTGAGAATGTTTATACTTGTCTTTACGAAGGATGTTGACTCATATGGTTAAATGAAATGTTCTAACTTCAATCCTCTTTAGACATTTCGGGCATAGTCACCGTTCCCGAGACATTACTGATTTTCCCCATCTATATTTATATCTATACAGCAATTAGTTATACCTTCACAAGGTAGAGGTAAGACTGCGTACATGCTACCCACCCCAGGCCCCACTTGTGGGATTACACTAGGTTTGTTGTTGTTGTTGTTGTACACAGCAGTTAGTTCATTATTCTGGTGCAGAGTGACTTTTTCCAGTATGTTGAGTATATTTACTTATGTTTGCTTTTCTTACCCACTAGCTGATAAATATTTCCATACGAAGTTTCAGATTTAGCAGTGTTACATAAGATAATTTGTTTGTAACACCTAAAACAGAATAGCTACTTTTGTTTCTTCTTCCTTATATTTTATAAATTGAAGTCGTGGAGGCGGTTAATGATGTGTTACTTTTATCGTACATCTTTCATCTCTTTCAGTCTCTTTGATGAAATCTATATTCGGCTATTCTCGTTATTCTGTACTTGTCTTAAATTTTCTAGTTTGATCCGGACCATTGTTTTGCTGGTAGAATGAATAAGATGAGAATAAAAAGCCTTTTTAAGTACTGTATGATTATAATGTAGTGTCTATACATATTTAGTATTATTGCGAAATATGCTACAGGTTGCATCACCACTAAGGAGCTTGGGACAGTGATGCGGTCGTTGGGACAAAATCCAACTGAGGCTGAGCTTCAAGACATGATCAATGAAGTAGATGCTGATGGAAATGGAACCATTGATTTCCCGGAGTTCCTTAACCTGATGGCTCGCAAGATGAAAGACACTGATTCTGAGGAGGAGCTCAAGGAAGCTTTCAGAGTGTTCGACAAGGATCAGAACGGATTTATCTCTGCAGCCGAGCTGCGCCATGTCATGACAAACCTAGGCGAGAAGCTTACTGATGAAGAAGTTGATGAGATGATTCGTGAAGCTGACGTGGATGGTGATGGCCAGATCAACTATGAGGAGTTCGTCAAAGTCATGATGGCCAAGTGAGAACTGATCAACTCGACTTCATTCTTAGAAGTAAAAAATTACAAAAAAAGAAGCTGGAAACAGGGCAGATAAATTGGATGAGATTTCTATATTTGGTTAGGATACGTTCTTTGACGTTGTTAGCTTTGTTTGGGTGCTTGCCTGTTTTCGTACTCGCATTGTTTTGTAGTGCTACTCTTCAGTATATGCTTGTCTGCTCTGTTTGTCAGCAAGTCTTGGTTTTTTCTTCTTAAATTCCAGCATTTTGAACTTATGACAATTGGAGATTTTCATTCTGAGTGACTAATTTTGTTGATATTCCAGATTCTTGTGTATGTTTGCTCTTTATTTCTGACTTCTGATTCGTGTTGATTTGCCTTTCAATTTTATGTTAGAATGTTCAATTTTCTTTTTAAGCAAGCAAGATTCATCTTGTGGAAATACAGTTGGGTTTTGTTTTGTGTAAAACACTTTTGGCTTCCATGCTCCCAGGGGTCCTCTTGGCCATTGTGGGAGAATAACTCTCATTGTTTTTTGACGTGTAAAACTGAAGCTCGCTGGTCAAATATAATTATATCTATATACTATATTAAAAGAACGAAGCCCATAGCGAAACGTCCTTTAAAAATCAGTTTTTATATTGGATAAAATTGTAATTTAAATTACTTCCCTAATATTTAGGGAAAAAATTACAAGAAAATACACTTGACTTCACACTATAACAAAAAATGGCCCATATTTTTTAAGTTTACCCGGTATGGCCTAGTTTGTATGGAATTTGAAGGAAAGATTTCAATCACTAAACTAGTTCTTTTTTTCCCTACACGCCCAAAAGGCTCTCTCTCCATGTGCCTCTTCATTCTCTACAGGCCATCATCTTCTATCCTCTATATTTTTAGATCTATCTCCCGTAGTCATCTTCTATCTTCTATAATTTTTATATCTATCTTTCATCATATCTTTTCTCCTCTCTAATTTTCAGCTCTAATTTTCCGCCACTGACGAAGCTAGAGTTTTCAGATCTGGAAGTTTTCATTGTGAATTGATGATATCAAATGGAGTTCAAAATTTAAATTTGAAGTGATTTTGAGTAGATTTGAGTTAAATTTCAGAAAAAAAACGCTAGGAAGAAGACGAAGTCAGTTTTTTGTATAATTATGTATAATATTGTATAATAGTGTATATGAGTGTATAAACACATATTATACACTATTATACACTTCTATACACCTTTATACAAGCGTCTGTAGACGAACTTCTTCCACGATTTTCAGTTTCAATTCTTGTTCAAAATTAGTCCAAATCTCCATTAAATGACTTCAAATTTTATATACAACCTTCTTATACTATTTCTAACAATTCTAGATAATATCCATTCCAAATTTCTCACAAAATCAAATTCGGAATCTAAACCAATATATTTAAGCTTGTTAAAAATCTAGTTTTCACCACCCAAATGGATTTGGTTTTGAACTATATTTGAGTTACAATTACTGATTCGAAAATTAACTTAAAAGCTTGAGGAATCTTTTTTAAAAATTAAATAGTAATTTTGAGAACCTATTGGAGTTGGATGTTGAATCTTAGCATATTATTTGCGGGCTAGTTGGTTGTAAATTGAAATATGGGCTATAAAATTGAAAGTTAGAGATCCCAGTTGTTCTAATGTGAAATTTTCCCATATTTAGGACTTAAAAATCAAGTCAAATTTTTGTTTACTAATTCAAACCTTATTTGAATTAGGTAAGAAGTCCTTAACATATCCGAAACTTTATGACCTTTTCAATTAATAAAAGAATTATATCAATTTATGGCATATGCACACAGTACACGTTAGGTTTGTCTATTTTTTCTTTTTTGCTTAAATATAATTAATCATTTAAATTCTATTAGAATAAACTTATTAGTGGCATATATTTATACAATTATGAGAAGTAAATATATCAACATAAATATACTTTCCATGTTAGATATAATATTAACTACCATTAATATTTATATGTTGAATATTACAATTGATTTTCTAAATTTTCAATGAACTAATATCTTATTGTATATAATTTTAGTATCTTAATTAAAAAAATAGAGAAATTTTTCTTACACCAAGAATATCGCCTATAAAAGATATTAGTGATACAAAAACACAATATATCATGCTTATCTTCATAAAAATATGTAAATAACCTACCTAAATTCTTAATCGTTGCAAATTCAAAAGATAATCAATAACTATGCATTCAATCATTTCATCAATGTAGCATTTACTTTTTAATTTAAATAAATATTACATTTATCTCGATATCAATTGTTATCACACATAATTCATTCTTATTCTAAATTTTATACACTTTTTATTAATAGACGCAAAAATACGTGCCTAAAGCTAGTACAAACAAATTAGAGTGGTTAGGAAGTTGCTAGTGAAGATATAATTGTATCTGGGACGACGATGTCGCCACTATAATAAGCGACCCACTGTTGCCGCGAACAGGTAATTTTGCGACTAAAATAGCAACTGAAGATATAATACTAGCATTTGGCGAGACGGTCGCCACTAAGACAAGCAACCTACCATGCAAATAGGTTGCCCCAAAATTCATGTACAAATATATTTTCAATTTCAAATCAAACTTCCCCCAAATTAGCTTTTTCAAAAGTATTTGGAAATCTATGTCCAAACAAGTCCTAAGTCTATGTTGTGGAACCCTTTTTTGGTAGTGTATTTGTTGCTTTTTTGTGACGAGTTTAGTTGCCGCTAATAGGTACTTTTGGAGCTATTGTAGCGACGAAAGCTGACAGTAAAGGTATAATAAAGTTGACTTGAAGCGTATTAAGAAGAAAGATGTCAAAAGTTTGATTTTATTCGATCAGCTTAAATTCTACGCCAAAACAAGGGGACATGAACAAAATACTACTTGGGATATTTCGCTGAATGTGGAATAAAAATATTTGAGTTTTGGGGTGGGTTATTAGGCATGTGAAGAGGAGAGACATAGGTGTTACGGTCAGGAGGTGTGAGAGGTTGTCCATGGCGGGTGTGAGGAAGGGAAGGGATAGGCCTAAGAAGTATTTGGGAGAGATAATTAGACAGGACATGTCATTGCTTCAGCTTACCGAGGATATGACCCACGATAGGAAGGTGTGGAGATCGAGGATTAGGGTTGTAGGTTGACAGCTAGTAGTGTGTTCCTCCTATGCTGACCTTTAGTACTAGAACTATTTTTGTAATTTTCCATTTATGGTTCTTTATTATTACATGTTGTGGTTTCCACGCCCGTTACCAAGTTATGTTGTTGCTACTATTCTTTGCTACTTGGTTGCTTTATCTTCATTGTTCCTTGAGCCAAGGGTCTATCGGAAACAGTCTCTCTACCTCTATGAGGTAGAGGTAAGGTCTACGTACACACTACCATTCCCAGACCCCATTATTGTTGTTGTTGTTGGTGGTGGCTGAGGGGGAGGGGGAGAGGGGGGGGGGGGGGTTATGGGGCTGCACTCAGTGATCACTATGGTTGTGATACTTGAAATGGTCTGTGTCTAGGCATCTATTTGGCTTGTCTTCTAGTCTTTACCAAGTTGATATGAGATAAATGTAAGAGTTTGATGAGAATCCAACCTTCCATCTCGATTGCAAGGTACGATGCCAACATTAAATAATTTTTATTCTTTAGGACAGTGAAGGTACCATCACAAAATAATAGTTATGGAGACATCTAAAGTTTCCACGATATCTCATTTAGACACTACAAGTCGACCTTGTTCCAATTGAATACCTGTTGCAGGCCCAAAGGTGTACAAGTTCCACACGTTCCGGGGAGAAATTCAAAAATAGCTAGATTTACCACTGGTCGTTGAAAAATAGCCAAGTTTCAAAAGTCATCAAAATTTAGCCACTTTAAATATGAGCGAAAACACTGTTCAAAATTCGAAAAAATACGCCCGCAAATTTTACGGGAGTTCCAGCATAAGTATGCTGGAACTCCCGTAAATTTTACGGGAGTTCAAGCATAATTATGCTGGAACTCCCGCAAAAGTTCAAGCATAATTATGCTGGAACTCCCGCAAATTTTACGGGAGTTCCAGCAAGTATAATTGCTGGTGCTCCAGTCTCCCGCAAATTTTACAGGAGTTAGCAAAGTATACCGGTCCAGCATAATATGCTGGAGTTCGTACACAAATGCACCAGAACTCCCGTATATTATACTGGACCGGTCCCTGTTGCAGCAAAATAGTGGCTATTTTTCATTGACTTGGTAAACGCTGGCTATTTTTCATTGACCAGTGTGAAAACTGGCTATACCATGATATTTTAACCACGTTCCGCTGACATGATTGATAGCGTGAGTCGCACTGTATTTAAGTGCATGAAAATGCAAATTAAAAGATTGATGCGACTTAGGCCTCATTTGTTTGCACTTACTGGAGGTCTGAATCTTAATCATTCAGATCTCAGACATTAAGTGCGTTTGTTTTTAAAGTCTGAATCTTAATTATTCAGATCTTAATCATTAAGTGTGTTTTTTTTTTTACTTCACAACCACTTAATGGGGTTTAAATAGATCTATATGATTAAGATCTATAACAAAGACTTAATTTCATCAAGATGCTATCACATATTCATTATTAATTGCCGCCACCGCTTACCATTATCAACTACCGCCATGCCACCACCACCACCATACTCAACCACCACCACCACCACCACCTCCACCACCACCACACCACCATCATGCTCAATCATAGTCGCTACCATTATCGACCATCACCACCCACTATCCCCACCACTCCGACCACCATCATTCTCACCCTCATCCACCTCAACTACGACAACTGACCATCCCATCAACATCAACAACCACAGTCGACACTGCCCATCATGATAACCTACCACCACCCACCCACCACATTCCTCAGTCACAACTACTATCACCACCCACCATCACCATCCTCAATCATAATCGCCACCACTACCAATCACTATTAGCTGCTAGCATGAACCACCATCATCAACCAAAACTACCACCAACCACCGCCTCTAGTCGGCATTCACCTGTTAGCCATCACCACCAACAACTATCATATTTTAAAAACTATATATTTTATTGATAGAATATTAGATTAGTTATTATTTCATTTGAATTTTATGTTTATTAATTTTCAAATAAAGATAAATTTTATACATTGAGATGTTAAAAGTCAAACAGTCTTAATTATTTCTATTCAGATCTTAATACACATCTTGATATTCAGATGTGTATTCAGATTCAGATATCTTAATCTTAAAAAAAAGAAATGAAGCCTAAGAGGTGTCGATTCTTGCCAACAGCTAATAGAAGCTCACCTTGGAACAAACTTCAGATGCAAAGCCCCCAGAATGAAAAAATATGAATTGATAACAGAAGCTTTCCTCGTGATTTTAAATATTGTAAACCCTTTACTTTAATTGATCAAATTGTCTCGAATAATTTTCAAGTGTCCATTACAAGGACGAGTAACTTTTAATTGGAAAATTAAAAATAAGCTAAGAGACAAGTAAAAGCATTAAACATTTTGGGGCTTATTACTATCATCTCCTTTCCCTTTCATCATTTTCCATCTTTGCTATAAAAGATGCAAATTGAACTTTCCTTTCATCTTGTTTACAAGACAAAGATTTGGCTTCATTTGGATCGAAATCACAAGGCAAAAGATTTGAACTCTCAAGATGAACTGGTTATACAATGAACAAATTTCATCTTGTACACACAGAAGACGCCAAAGGAGGATAAAACTAACACAAAAAACAACTTTAACTCGAACAGGAATGGAAGGAAGTTCATGAGAGATGCACAATCCTGTAACTTCTACAGCATACTCAGACCAGACATGATAGCTACTAGTATTCGAATAAGATCCTCTCCCTTGACCAGCAGTAGAAAAGACGATTTCACATGTCACAATTGTAAAAATCATCTATTCATTTATGCTTATCTGAGAACCTGTTACCTAATTCCTTCTTAGCATTAGATACTAATTTTTCAGCTTATCGCACGGATGACCAATCCACTAATGCATGGATCACTGAAGTCTTGAATGTACAAGTGCATTTACCTAAAAGTGCACAAGCGCATGCAAATACGCTATTGCTCCTTTCATCCTTCATGTTCAAAGTTGTTCTCAAAATGAAGAATGTAAGTGCTAAAAAATGCACAGAACAGGCACTTGCACAAAAGAACATGCATTGTAATGAAAGGGGATAATCACATAGTCGTTATTACAAGCCTATGACATAAGGAAATGGCAGAAAAGAAACCTTAGGTTCGAGTTACCATCCCAATTGTTTCTCTCAGAAATCAGGGGGATTTAACATGCAATATAGCTACTAACTATATATTCTTTTCTCATTTTGCACATTAATCCTTCTAAGTTCTGTAATAAAAAACTTTATGAACATAAAATCACCAAAAAGGAGGTGAGAAAAGAATGAGTGCAATAGCGCTTAACATGCCTAAAGATGTTTACTTGCACAGAGAATGAATATGCATTGCTGATAAACTTGAAACTATTGTACAACAGCGGAGGTTAAAAATGTTGAACCTTGAGCAGGTCTATTAACAGTGGAATCTAAAAGCAACCACACTCAGAAAGCTCCAAAAAGATTAGAACGTAAACACGGGGTCACCTCTTCAGTGGTTTGTAGAGGACAACAGTAACATATTTGGACTGGAACCTATGCGTCAGACCAAGAGCAACAACGGATTGAGAAGCCCATCCTTTCTCTATAAAGAGGTGATTGAGCACTACATGCTGGGGCTTCGGAGAAGAAGGTGTTTCTTCTGAGTTTTCAGAACCAAGAACAGTTAGATGAAGTTGGGGTGGAACTGCCACTGGATCCTTTGCAAAATCCTCATCTCCCAGCAAACCTTGCCCATAGCTAGAGTCAGGTGATGGTGGGGCCTCAAACTCTGCAACACTCTCGAGGTTCTCTGGCACATTATCCTGTAGGAAGGATGCAAATTGTATTATCCATGTGTATGAGCCGATATCCTTAAGAAACAGCAGGCATAGCAAAATATTCTTTTTAGCCTCCGAACAAAATATACCAGCCGTAGCATTTGCGCATGTCACACATGAAAATACATGGTGAATGGTCCTTCTAAGTAACTCTGCAAGCCTCCCAGTCACATATTTATGCATTAATCAGCCATCAACGAATTTTTTCCACGAGATTCATTTTCCTTTTAGACAAGTTTTCCCCTTACCTTTCTGAATGATATATCAAACTGCATATATGTATAGAGTGAATTACCTTGTTCTTAAGTAGCTTTTCACTTTTTAAACTTTTGATTCCCCTATCTCAGTGGTTTTATTACCTTGTTCAGTAGCTTTTCACTTTTAAAAACTCTTGATTCCCCTATCTCTACCAACCAAACCCGTTTAGCTGCATATACATTTAAGGAAGCTATATGTGAATAATCCCTTGAGATAAATTTCTCTCTTTTGTGATCATACTGAAAAATAATCCATTTATGCATAAAATATTAATTAGGATAGTTTCATACCACCGGCACCACCTAAGGTCTGAAGAGATATTTTCACCTTTATTCCTAAATACAAGAGAAGCACATTTCCTCTTTGATTAGGACAAGGCAAAATAAAATGAAATAAAATGGCAATGCCAAGCTGCAACATTGCAAACTTTGCCTACCCTTCCGCTACAAAGTTATTTGTCAGTATTTCACTAATTACATTAATGAAGACTGCTAAATGTGCTAAAGTTATCAAGATGCCACTACTGCAATAATGCAATTAGCAATTCACTAGCCAAAGGTAAATCAGCTTCCCAACCAACTAATCAGGAGGCGGAAAACTCACTTACATTAACATCAAGAAGATTAAAGACAACGCCTGTCTCATCTGCTACACATGGAAGATCTGGGATATATCTGACTTCTCCATCCACAACGAATTTGTAATGATATATCCCCATCGGAAGGACCAAAAGAATGGTGTGGTCCTTGCCTGATCTTTGCAGAATCTTCCTGCAAGCAAATATCATTGGTGGAAACATTCAGAAACTCCATTAATAGGAATTGTCGCAGCAGCTAGTACTTGGTTGAATCTGGATCAACTCCTGAACAAGAGGCCAGAGTTTACCTTGATCTCCAGTTGTCCCAAGATCCTTGGACAGCAACATTATTACCACCATAACTCCATGTTATCAAAATAGGTATGCCACTCTCTGGAGAATGATCAGAGGCATCCTGAGATTCATCGCCCCACATTTGGTCGGTAGCAGGATGGCCATCCCCTGCTTGTAAAGGAACTACTGGGACCTGAAAAGGAGGATAAAAAGAGAGGATTTGAGTCTCGAAATCAGACAGTCCCTAAGTATTTATGGGATATATTGGGGTGCCCAGAGAAGCAACTAACTTCTCCCGCTCTATCTCCAAGGTAACTACAAATAAGAGGCGCTTGCTTTTGGTTATTGGTCAACCTCATAGGAACATGTTTCCCTTCTTGGCCGTTTAGAAAAGCTATAGTTTGAGCGATAATGTTGATTATAACAGCAACAACAACAACATACCCAGTATAATCCCACATAGTGGGGTCTGGGGAGGGTAGTGTGTACGCAAACCTTACCCCTATCTTTGTGGAGGTAGATTGATTATAACAGCATAAATGTTAATAATACCACATAAGCAAACAAGAAATGAAACTCATCAGCCACAAAACCATTTTTGAGATGGAAAGCCAGAAAATATGTTAACTTCGCTGTGGAGTCCTGCTATCAATATCTAACGGCAGGAAGGAATGCAACAGAGTTTTGTCCTTGGAACAGGGTATCGAAGAAAATCCCCACTAAACATAAGAGGTTTTTTTTGTTTGGAACTCCAGATGGCTGTGCCACCCAATCAAGCCTCCAGAAGAGACTATCGCTTATGTGCACGAGGTGTTATATGTCCATCAGAATATACAGATCACCTATTCAAATTGTACCATAGCTTCAGAGTTATTTTCTCTAACTTATCCAATGTAAAGTGGCGAATGCCACATAATTCGAGGGAAGCATTCTGGAACTAGATGTGAAGAAAAGTACCAAAAATCACATAGAGCCTTTTCGATTACAGCCCCTGCCTGCATACTATGGCTCATTTTGAGAGAAAGAAAAAGTAGGTGTTTTGAGAAGAAGGAAGCTGCATCACGTGCCTTAACATATCAGTATATATTAATATTTTTGGACAAAAATTGAAAGATGTATACAACTTGGAAACACTTTTGAGTTACTAAATACTTCATAGGAACTCTAGGAAGAACTTGTATATCCACTATGCTGAAAACTTGTATACAGATGCACTTTCTTAGTGCTTCTACAGTAATGAAACAAAAGACATGAAGCTCATCAGCACAGTCATACAAGTAATCAAATGAAACGGGAAAAGCATTACTGCAAGTTCCTGAATGGACCTAGAACAATTCTTCGAACTATGTTCCCACAGCCCCTCCCTCCCCCCCTAAGATAATAAAAAATAAAACCAAATCCCAAAAAGAAAACCTTACAAAGTTATAATAGGAACCCCCAAAACTGAAAAGCTTTCCTGAAGAATGGAAGAGCACAGATTAGGGGAGACAAGGGAGGAAAAAGGTAAAAAGTACTTTCACAACCAAAGTCCACATACTTACGCAATGCGTGCAGCCATACCCACAAATGCACTACCTTTTACCCCGTCAACGGGATATTCAACTGGAGAAAAAGGTATGCGAGGGATAGTGGCCACGTATTCAGATGCGTCAGATGATTTCTTTTTTTTGATGAAGGTATTTCATTAAAAGACATCAAGGAGATGCAAAATCACAAAAGAACAAAAGTACAAGATTCTTACCCCCTTTACAATGTGTCAATCTAAAACAAGGGAGCTAGCAAAGTCCAAAAATGGTCAGTGCTAATTACGGGGGTTAACCTAGTCCAACAAAAAAGATCAATCAAACATCTAGCTTTGAGAGAGTGATTTGGAGTTGAGGTTCCATCAAACCATCTTCGATTCCTTTCAGTCCATAGGCACCAAAAGTAACTGCAGGGATCATCACCCAGATACATCAGATGATATTATGACAAGTCTAAAATGAAGGACATATGATCTAAGGCTTCACTTAGGCTAAGGGATCTGAAATGCACAATAATGAATCTGATTCAAATGTTTGTGAAAAACCCAATTCCCTGTACTTATGGGTATCGGATTCTATCAAATTCCTAGCCAAATACATAAGTAGATTTCAAGAGGCAGCCAAAGAGATGTCAATTAGCCAATGATCCATGTAACTCATAGCAAACCCCACCATCCCCTCTTCCATCTATCACATCTGTCCATCTCAGTTTTTTATCAATCTTTCCCAATGTATTCTAAAGTCTCCACTGTTTTCTGCAAAACTCTATTATTTTCTATCTTGCAGCACCATCTCCATCGCCATCTGAATGGGATATTAAACCCAATGACTTGCATAAGTGAACAATTAGCAATCAGTAGCTTATTGGTTTCCAAGAAGCCAATAACATGTAACCCAACTAGGGAAGATCTGATTCTACATGGCAATGATTACCACATATTAAAGCAGTATGAACTATGTTAATGGACTCAATTACGTATGTAGCTGATACAGGTGTAAGTAACAGGAATTTTTTGCAGATTTCTATTGTATTCCGAAGTTTCCACACGGAACATATAAATACCATCACTGCTGCTCGACATGGGTACACACAGGCAAATAAAATGAACATAGCTCTGAACTAGTAACTAGGGATATCCATAAAATACCTCTCATCTAGCTCCATCCCCAGCTATTTTTATCTCTTTTTTGAAATCCAGAAATAGTAAGTGATTCCATAAGGGATTTCTGAAGTAAGTTATTTATCTCATCTAGTTCCCCATCCCTAAATCTACCCTACTCATTAAGCAACAGATGTATAATCATAATTTGACGACTGTATTATTCACCATTTGAATTTTTATCGTTCATGATTTATTATTCTAAATTTGTTAAAATCAGAATCTTCTTATCCATTACTACCATTTTATCCATTTAGCTTATTTAACTCGACTTCCTATCTCCAAACAAAAATACATGAGCACAAAATTTAAATCTTTATGCCTTTCTTTAGACAGATGAACAGAAATTCAAATCTGTAAGTGAAGATAGCTAAGACGAAAGAGTTAGAACATTTACATCTCTCCAGGGTCTTGTATGAGCCTCACCTAGAAGAATTTAAACTAATTTCATCAACAAGTACAAGTTTGTAAAATAATAAGTAACTATTGTGAAGAAAAATTGCCTTAATCAGAGCAAAGCTCGCACAAACTCCAAATTCAATTGACTAAGAATTCACTAAAGGATTTCAATAATCCTACTATTTTTCTTCTTTTTTGATAAGTGACTTCAATAATCCTACTATGATTGAAGCATAAACTTTTTTTCAACCGCCTCTTTCTCGGGGATGCATTAGGCATCATTAGTACAGAAAATTGTCATTGGGAGACATTGTAGCTTTTGCTCTACCATAAATTTTATGCGATGCTCTTCCCTTTTTAGTCTTCCCCAAAAAATAAAAGGATTTAACTTTAAACTTCTTATTTTAGCCTTAATGACATGATTTATAGCCACAAAATTATCTGTATATGGTTCTAAACTACAAGTTTCAAGAGTCTTCCTTCCTATTCTTTTATAAACGTCGTGCCCAATCAACTATTTAACATAGAGGCTAAACTCTAATGCTTCGAGGCCAGCACTCAAACACACACTGTTCCTATAAGGCTATAATGCAAGTATATATTTATGCTTAAATTCAAATAATTTGTACTACACAACTACTTCAAATCCTAAATCCGCCTCTATTCCTACCACCACACATACAAAAAGAAACACACACATACACGCATAACAGAGAAAGTAACAGAAAAATGGAAACCTGAGGTCCGAACAAGAGAGGTGAAGCAGAGCGATGTGGACTTTGCGGAGGAGAATTGACCATTAAGTCAGCTGAAGCCACGCGCGTGCTCCGAGCGTGATCTTCACCAATATTTGCAGATTGAATATTACTGGATCTTCTTCCCGACACTTCATCACCACCGCCACCGCCTCCGTCAGCGACGGCGCTGTCTTCTCTCGCGTTCGCATTCCCCATGTCTTCACCAATAATGCTACTGAATATACATGTGTATGTAAATATATAGAGAGAGAAAGTAATAGAAGTCACGTTCTCTGGGTTTATATAGCATTCTGTGACTTATTAATGGAGAAGGTGAGATTGGAGATGGCTTAAAAAAATAAGGCACACTATTGTAGTTATTTACGGTCATTGCCCTCGATTGAGCTAAGAACTTTCTTTTAAGGTAAAAAATCTACATATTTACACATGCAACATACATACTTGTATTTTATATGTACATTTATTATTTTCTCTATATAATATTTTCACTTTCAGTTTTCATAGTATTGGGTCTTATTTACTGATTATTATTTTTGCTTTCTATCTATTTATTGGTTCGTGTGATGGTGTTATTATTTCTATGATTTTTATTGATGGTACTAATATATTGTCTCTTTTCGTCTTCTTGAGCCGAGGGTCTATCGGAACAGCCTCTCTATCCCCTCGGAGTAGAGGTAAGGTCTGCGTACACACTACACTCCTCAGACCCCACTTGTGAGATTTTACTGGATCATTGGAGTAATATTTTCATTTTAATTTTAACTATAAGATTAATTATTTAATTTGGTAAAATCGACAAGTATTTACCTTTTTTCTTGATACTCCTGGTTTCTTGTTTGGTCATTTAACTCTGGGGCGAATCGAGTACTTTTATCTCAGATTTATGGGAACTCGGTATTTTTTTATACTAAAATGTACTAATTTAAATATGAAAACTCATAAACTTATAATTTTAAAAGTATAATATATTTACTACTATAAATTTTAAAAGTTGAATCTATCAAATTAAAATCTTGAATTTTTTTCAAACTAAATTAATCTATGAACATTCTACAAGCACAAGTGTAAATATTGAGTATGAGTAACTTTTTTTTAAGAAAAAAAACAAGTTGATAAGCAGAAAAGGGCAGAGATGGAAAGTGAGAAGAAAGAAAGAAAAAACGAAAAATGGAAATTTAGAGGATAAATATGGATGACGTGGAAAGATCATAAACGTTGACAAAGGATAACTACAAAATGGAAAGTGGAGATTCGCTGAAATTTAGTGTATGTACAAAATCGTCAAATCAAAGGTACTTTTCGGCGTGCTTATATTATCCCCTTTAGACGTGCTTTTTACATATGGTCACTAATATTTTTTTTTACCTAATTAAATATTTTGAGTCCAAAAAGATTATATTTTGATTCCGGACTCCGATAGTGACACCCCCAAATATATGTAGGCGATTAATAATGTGGAATATGCCACAAAGTTATCCTCGAAAGGGAATAGCTCTTTCGTTGATCCTGAATTTAAACTTACAATTTATATGATTTATTGGATTCAAAATTAAGTATTTGTATTTATTTACTTAATTCTTAACATGTATGATTCCAAGCAAAGTTATTGAGTTCAAATGAACCTATAACTTTTTACACCCGCCCCAGGCTCTCTCCGTAAAATATCTTTGCAAGAATGTGTCTCTTCTTGCTTCCAAATTACTAGTTTACACAGGCAGTGGCAAACCTATCCGAACATTTTCAACACAATGGACATAGAGGGCAGCCCGGTGTACCAAGCTCCCGCTATGCGCGGGATCCGAAGAAGAACCGGATCACAAGGGTCTATTGTATGCTGTCTTACCCTGCATCTTTGCAAGAGACTATTTTCACAGCTCGAACCCGTGACCTCATGGTCACATGGCAGTAACTTTACTAGTTACACGTAACCTGGTGTACTAAGCTCCCACTATGCACGGAGTCCGAGGAAGAGCCGGACCACAAGGGTCTATTGTACGCAACCTTACCCTATATTTCTGTAAGAGGTTGTTTCCACGACTTGAAGCCGTGACCTCCTGGTCACATCGCAGCAACTTTACCAGTTACGCCAAGGCTCCCTTCGAACTAGTAGCTGGCATTAACAGCCAATAATGTGAAATATGCTAAAATTCATGACACTACGTAGCACAACATTTGTAACGAAGAAAGGCCCCTAGAGGACAATATTCTATTTGTTGGCAATCATAAATTCAAAAGAATTCCTACTTCAAAAGTAAAAGTACCATGACTGGAAGCAAACATGCCAACCAACAAGATTTATGATCTATGACTGGTTGAGTTTGTAGCACTTCTAACAGTATTCCAAATTTGGACAACCGAATTTGCAACACGAGGGAGCACTTGAAGAAGGCCACCAGCGGCCAATCCGATGGCAAGGGTTTGAGGGTAGCCAGGCTTGGAGTCAACTTTCATATCAAGGCTAAGAAGTCGAGCATTTATGACATCAAGTTTTCTGGAGGTTTCGGATGACATGTTCCTATTATTGCGATTCTTGTCATTTCGAGAAGAGCTGACCATCCTGAAGAGAGCACCCTGGAGATCGTCAATAACCTTAAAGGAAGCTTCTTGGGAGTCCATACCTTGCGATTCATAGTGTGATACAAGCTCTTTCGGGCTTGGCAACTTTCTTGTCGCCTTCTTTTTGCTGCTCTCGTTATTGTTGCTGGCATTCGCAGTATCAATCTCTTTCATCTCCTCCTTCCCATTTTGAGGTGGTTGGGAAGATTTTGCCATTATCTACTTATATTTCTCCTCGTGCTCTCCCTGATTTCAACAGTTTCAGATTAAGCCTCTGCAACTGGCAGAAAGAAAATTAATAGAAAGGGGCTAGCGCTGCAATTATAAAACTCAAGCAAATTGAAGCATAGCAATGAAATTAGTACACCAGCCAAAACAAATGTCTGAAAACAACTCTCTGTAGGCAACAAATCATATTCCAGGTAAGAATGTGTAATACAAAAGAAGTAAGGTCTCTTAACATATTTCTAGGATTTAATAAATGACTAACTACTTAAATAAATAGACAGGTGAAAGTTCTCACTGACATACAGTGAGCAAAACTGCAGACATAAGCGAGGCCATGGATAAAAAGAACAGGAAAGAGCGCAGAAAAAGATAAGATACTGTAAAACCCACTCACAAAGTAAGAGCACAAGCCAAGTGACTACAAAAATCAGATTCTCCTTTTTCTTTTTCTCTGAACACGATATGAACTATGCCTACGAATCAAAGCAGATTATGTAAATACAATCGGCCCAGCTCCTTTGATTTAAAAAGATAATGCAGGACAAGTAACAAGCCCAACTAGTCTCGTATTGAGGTCGATTGACATTTTGAATCTAAAAAAAAACATTTTTCACCAGCAACCAGTATGGCAGTTGATCAGCCTTTACCCCCTCAAACAACTCATATATTTCACCTTGTAATGAGCAGACATGAATTGTTGCATAAAATATTTTAAAAATACTTAATACAAGTGCTCCACTGAACCAGTCAATAAAGTCACGAGATCACAAGATGCCCCATCTAAAAGCTAACTTCCACTTGACTCATGAAAAAAAGAGGCCACACACAGAGGGGAACAGCAGTGAAATTGAATTTGATCGATTATAAATGCTAAACGAAATTCATCTTAGTGTTATTTTCTTGCAGGCACAGCATGAAAAATATCGCCAAATATTATTTCAAAATTTTAAACCAAATCTATGGACAACAGGATTAACATTGGCTTTCAGCTTCCTTTGGAAATGACTACAAAATTGATATAATAAGGTGAGCTCACCATATAGAAGTTAACAAGCATTTAAAAATACTGCATTTCTAAGACTATTATTCAACTCAATACTCCCTCTGGATCATTTCTTCCACTAGGGACATAGAAGTACCAGAGCGGCAAAACATGCCTGTGCTGTATTCAACCAGGAAAGAAGAAAACTTCCTTTGAACGTAGTTGCAAATTAAGGTTGAATCCATGAAACTTGAGCAACTAAAAGTGAGCAAACCTATGCTCATTAGCCAGGAAAATAAAGAAAATTAATCTGTATCAAGCCACAATAGGAGAGAGGCTCAACATTAATTTTTGTCCATTTCTTTGTTCATCAAGATTTTTCTACAGGAATCAGCAGGTATACAAATTAAAACATTCCTCAACCACAAAAGATTTAAAACCTATACAGGATACTATAAGGAGTACAATCATACATAAGTGTAAAATACAAACCCAAATCAGTATAAGTCACAAGGTACCAAATTTAAAGAGGTACTGGCATATATATCTGTGCCAACAAGAACGGACACATAGAGATATGATTTCATTACTAGAACTGGAATGAGAATAATTACACCGCAAAAGACATGAGCTTTCCACATGTGAAAGGCATTGAAAAAACAGAAAACAAAAAAGGAATAATCAGAAGATCAATCAATCAATCCTACACTAATAGTCGACTATTTGAATACTCTATTTCCATTCTGCTTCTTGCCAACAGAAAAAGGTCACATAGATATAAGACTCCATTCATAAGAATCGAAAAGGGAATAGTTAGACGCGTTAGACCTTAAAAGACGTGAGCTTTCGGCACGTCAAAGACGATGAATTTCATATCAGCCCCTTAAATATAAGATGAACACACTTGCTACATTGAGCTTGAAAAAGAAAACAAAAGAATAATCAGAGAGATCAATCAATTATGCCTCAATCCAATACTAGTAGTAATCCACTATATGAATACTCTATTCCCATTCTGCTCTATTCACCCTCACTCGATTCGCCATGCAGCACACGCCTGAGTGAACACTTCATAATTAATTTAATGTTTTAATTCAGAGCAACCAACAGAGTGATAACTCGAAATAAGGACTATAAAGTAGAAAGATGCCAAAAATCAACTTTGTAAGCAAGCCGAAAACAACAACATACCCGATACGGTCCCACAAGTAGGGTGTGCGAAGGGTAGTGTGTATGCACACCTTACCACTGCCTTGTGAATGTAGAGAGCTAATTTCCGATAGACGCTCAAGAAAAGCATGTAAAGAGAAGAATCAAAGCCGAAAATAGAAGAGTAATATAAACTTTTACAATGTCGACTCTTTATAAAAATTGAAACTTTTTCTTTTTATGGAGAAACTAAGCAATACACTTACACACCTGACGACTATGAGCATAATTATGGCACACTCACTGCACACACACACACACAAAAAAAAAAAAAAAAAAAAAACATATATAAGAAGAACATTTAAGCATTTTATATGTTTATAACAAGTCAAAGTTAGTACAAGATTATACATTTATACAAAATTAATGTTTCACTGATATTTCCCGTCCACTGACTTGAAATAATCTCTTAAAAACAAGAGAGGGGTCAAAAAAACTCGACACCCTTTTGGCTTCAGATATAGAACACCATACCTGTGAAAACCATTGCCGGAGAAAACCGGGGGGTGTGGGGGGTGGGGAGGGGGGAGGAGTATAAAGAACCGCTGAAGCTGCAGCCTGCAGGTAGGGGATAAGCGGAAGGGGGGTTTTGTGAGAGGGAACTGAAAATATTTGGGGGCAAATTGCACTTTCTTTCCTTCTTATGTTAGCTTGATTTACATATAACCCCTTGTAGTTTTAATATATGTATACTGGTCCACTGATCAAAAGTTGGCTTGATAATTGGCTAGCGTTTGGCCATAGATCCCAAATTTATTTTGAAAAATCTGATTTGGGTGCAGTTTGGTTTGAAGATGAAAATGTGTTTGGACATACGTTTTCAAAACATATTTTCCAACTTTATTTTGGAAAAACATGTATATAATTCCCAAGTTTTGGGATTTTGGGATTTGAAATTTGGCCAAAATATGAGCAAAATTTATGGCCAAACATGAGTTTTGAGAATAAATCTCAAATTTATTTTGACAAAACTCATGGCCAAACGGGGCCTTGAAATACTACTCCTATTGAAGCTTGTTTGGAAGGTTAGTACCTATTGTATTGGATTGTTACTTTAAAAACAAAATTTGTCTTGATTGCTACTTAAATTTTATTGTATCATATCATTAAATCCGTCGTTACACAATGACGAAAAGTGCCATCTTATATAACGAACAATTTGATGTGTGATCGAATTGTTACCTTGTCTTTTTCTCTCATCTTGCCCTTTATTATTATTAAATATTCTTTCCTTTTTATATAACAATTCTACCTCGTACCATTCTTTTTCTTTATAATATTGCAAGTTTATTCTTCATATTGCTGGTGCTTGACTTTCATGAAACGACGGCAAACGATACAATCTATCCAAACATTATATTTATCAAACGATACAGTACAATATAAAACAATACGATATGATACATTATAAAACGATACGTAACAACCATTCAAACAAGTTAGGAATATCATGCAATTTGAGTAGATTTATTTCAACTGCCAATGAAAATATATGGAAAACCATTTGTCCAAGTAATTGATCTGACGAGTCAATTCTCAGCATTGAAAGAAAATAAATAACAAAGATAATAATCAAATGTTACATGAATCATTTGTCTTTGACGTATTCATGTAGAAAGGTCCGACACGAGTACGAATACATAGTCTGAATTCTTCAAAATACACTAAAATTTTAACTGGACGTGCTCGTATTGGATACTTAAATAAACGCGTACCCAATACGTACCCGTTCACTAGTCCATGTAACATGGCTCTCACTCACTACTAATTTAGCTAACAACAACGACCCTGTGTAGTCCCACAAGCTAATTTAGCTAACTCCAACTGATATAAAATCATACAACTTTTTACAAATATATTACATTCTCTGTAACTAGCTAGTTGTCTACCCAAAGATACATAGGTCTACCAACAAGCTATTGGCTTCAGACCATGTAAATATACAAACTAACACATCCTCTTTAGTCAGGAAGTGAAGTAGCAATGGAGCTTATAATTCCAAGGACATAAGTAACCTCTGTTCTTTTGATAGAGACGACGAAGCTTCTTCCACAATCTGCATAGAATGACAGATCAAGTCAAAAGACTCGCCTCTTTTATACATCAAAGAACTATTTATCAAACAGAATAAGATAAACGAAGTAAGCATTTTCAAAAAAAAATCAATTTAACCGGCTATAGCAAGTTATTACTCTACTATCCAGGTTATTGTATCTGCTTTGATAACAGATTCTCTACAAAGAGTTACCTCTTATTGTAGGCCTAACCTGATGGTGTAAAAAACCTATATACCGTCAGTCCACAAAACTTGAACCGGGTATCAGAAGCACAAAAGGCTCATTTCACATAGATTACTATGTTTTAACTTTTTTTCTCCTTGACCGGGTGCCACTATTAAGGGCTCGTTTCATATAAATTACATTAAACTCTTTTTGCTTCTTAAACGAGTAAAACTGGCAACTAACCGGTACAACCAGAATACATCTCCAAGTGAATTTATGTAGAGCATAGATCATGAATTATGAGGCTGAATACAAACAAGGCTTCATACATTAAGAAAGTGTTCATAAAGAACAAAGGTCAAACTAAGTGTAATCATAATCTATTGTTTGAAGTGACAAGGAGGAAATCACAAAATAGAACTCCATGAACAGCTGTTTTATGCTATACTATTTCTACTTTTTGAGCATGACGTGTTGCCACGTGACAAGATAAAATAGCTCCTATTAGCCGGGAAATTCGGGTTTCTCTTATCCACTCAGTCTCATGTTGTGACAACCCAAAAGGGGTCATCACCTGTTTTAAATGAATTCTGTGCTTCTGAGGCCTTAAAAACCTCAGTTAGATTCGCCTCGATTTGCGTGCGCAGTCCGGGCGCGTAGCCAGAAAGCTTAAATATGAAATTCTGTGAAAAATGCTAAGTTTTGATATTAAAATGAATAAATTTGACTTTGGTCAACTTTTTGGGTAAACGGACCCGGACCTGTGATTTGACGGTCCCGGAGGGTCCGTAGGAAAATATGGGACTCGGGCATATGCCCGGAATCGAATTCCGAGGTCCCGAACCCGAGAAATGAATTTTTAAAAGAAATTATTTTTATGAAATTGTTAAGGAAAGATTGAAATGATATTTGATTGGAACGTGTTGGTATCGGACCCGTATTTTGGTTCCGGCACCCGGTACAGGTCTTATATGTGAATTAAGATATTTCTGTGAAATTTGGTTGAAAACGGACGTCGTTTGACGTGATTCGGACCTAAATTGGAAAATTTAATGTTTTATGAAGTTTGAAAGAATTCTTGGATTTTGAGGTTTGATTCGTTGTTATTGAGGTTATTTTGGCGATTTGATCGCAAGGATAAGTTCGTATGATGTCATTGAGTTAGTACGTATGTTTGGTTAGGAGCCCTGAGGGCTCGGGTGAGTTTTGGATAGGCGTCGGAGTGTTTTTGGACTTAGAAAATCTGGTGTTTTTGCTGGTTGCTGGTGTCCAGGTTTTTGTTCTATGCGATCGCATTGATTCTTCCGCGATCGCATAGAGTTAATTTGGTAGTCATCAATTTGCTCTATGCGATCGCATTGATTCTTCCGCGATCGCATAGAGTTAATTTGGTAGTCATCAATTTGTTATATGTGATCGCATTGATTCTTCCGCGATCGCATAGAGTTAATTTTGGTAGTCATCAATTTGTTCTATGCGATCGCATTGATTCTTCCGCGATCGCATAGAGTAAAAATCCGCCCAGTTATTTAAGCTCAAAAACAGAATGCATTACGGGGAATTGGCCATTTTTCATAAACCTTTCCTTCTCCAAAGCCCTTAGGCGATTTTTGAAGCTCTTCTTCACCATAACCTCTTGGGTAAGTAATCTTTAACTTATTTTCTTCCATTTTCATCAACATCTATTAGATTTCTAGGCTTAAAACATGGAATTAAAGGTAGAAAATTAGGGATTGGGTAGAGTTAGGGCTTTTTGATTTTTCTTGATTTAGACCTCGTTTTGGGGTCGAATTTGAAAACAAATTGTATATTCGGGCTCGTGGGTGAATGGGTGATTTGATTTTGGTCGAACTCGTGTTTGACCAAGCGGCCGGGTCGATTTTGAGTTTTGAAAAAATGATTGAAAAGCTATAATTAGGCATTGGGTTCGAATTGTTTAGCATTATTTGATGTTATGAAGTCATTATTGTATAGATACAATTGATTTGGAGCCGAATTCGAGAGGAAAGGCGGTTTTTGAGGATTGAATTGGCCGTGGAAGTTTGAGGTAAGTGTTTGGTCTACCCTTAGCTTGAGGGATTAGGAGTTGAGTCCTATTTGCTATGTGATAATTGTTGAGTACGACGTATAGGCATGGTGACGAGTATCTATACGTTGGTGTCAAGTATGACCGTGAGTCTTATATTGTGATTTTCATGATTTCGTTGTATTCTTCATGCGTTGGTGATAATTTCTAATTGTTGTGAAAAGTTTGTGGAAGGAATTGAGACCTTTGAACATTTTGGAGCATTGGCTCGAGTTATATTATGAATTGTGAAAGTATATGAGATGGTTGAACCCTTTGGAGCGTTGGCTCAAGTGGTAAAGTGAGTTATGAAGTACAAGTGAAAGATAGAGAAAGAGTTATTGAAATTTTTCCTTGCCGGGATTTAAATATTTAATTGTTGTTCCCTTGCCGGGATTTAATTATTTACTTGTTGCTCCCTTGCCGGAATTTAATTGTTAAATCGTTGTTCCCTTGCCGGGATTCCTATATGTTCTTGTTGATTTCCCTTGCCCTTGTTTGTGATTGTTGTTCGGGTGAGGAAGAGTGTTAAAGCACGAAGGGTGATGCCGTGCATTGTTTGCTATTGTGAGGAAAGAGTGTAAAGTACGAAGGGTGATGTCGTGCCGCACGATGTACCATTCCGTGCCAATTCTATTGATTATATGTGAGGAAAGAGAGTAAAAGCACGAAGGGCGATACCGTGCACTTGTCTTTGATTTCCTGATTCTTGCTGATAATTGAGTTATGTTGTCCTTTACTTTTATTTACTGAATTTCTTGTTGTTATCGGTTCAAGTGCATTAATTGTCTTATTCCACTATTACTATTACTGTGATTCTTTATGTTGGCATTTTCCTTTATTGTGTTACTTGTTATTATTGGCTCGAGGTATCCTTGCGCAACATTATGCTTTGAATTTATGCTGTAATTGCTACCTGTTTATGTGACTTAATTGCTAGTTGCTACTTGACATTTAGCGTACTAAATATTAAATTGCCTATTTGCTCCTTAAATTCCATAATTAATTGCTACTTGTCATTTTTTATTTTCTTCAGTGAGTCATAATTATTGTGTACTTGTTGTCTTATGAATTCGTATTAATTGTTGCGTTTGTTGGAGTAAATTTCATTTGGAAGAACTGTTGATTTAATGAAATGGGAGCGGGTGGTACGCCTACCACGAGGTTTAATGAAATGGGAGCGGGTGGTACGCCTACCACGAGATTTAATGAAATGGGAGCGGGTGGTACGCCTACCACGAGATTTAATGAAATGGGAGCGGGTGGTACGCCTACCACGAGATTTAATGAAATGGGAGCAGGTGGTAAGCCTACCACGAGATTTAATGAAATGGGAGCGGGTGGTACGCCTACCACGAGATATAATGAAATGGGATCGGGTTGCACGCCTGCAACAAGATGTGAAAAGGAAGTGAAATCTGCCTTTGTTTTCCTTATTCTTGCTAGTGGTTGGATTTTGATTCCCTTATGGTTCTCTTGATATTTTGTTTTACCTGTTATTCCCCGAAGCATGTTTCCCCCTCCCATCCTTACTTGCTTATACCTGCTTTACTTTCCGCTGTATATTATATAACTGCACAGGTTTATTTGGTAGTCTGGTCCTAGCCTCGTCACTACTTCGCCGAGGTTAGGCTAGGCACTTACCAGCACATGGGGTCGGTTGTGCTGATACTACACTCTGTGCTCTTTTGCATAGATTCAGGCCCCGGACAGCAGCAGTAGCTCGGGAGCCAGCCTTCAGTTCACTGAGACATCGAGGTAGCCTTGCACGCGTCCGCAGGCCCGGCGTGTCCTCTATCTTATATTTTATTTTGTTATCTCATGTTTTCGAGACAAACAGTGTTATATTTCTTTCAAACGATTGTATTTAGTACTCTTAGTAGTCCGTGAATGTTGTGACACCAGTTCTGGGTAAAGGCACATGTGGATTTTTCCTTATTATTTGGTTTATATCGTTTAAGTCTTCTGCTAAATTACAAATTCCGCTGTTGTTTAATTATTTATTTCCTGTTAATTAAATTGGTAAAAATGGATTTTAAAAAAAAGCATTTATGGATTCTAGATGTGTGGCTTGCCTAGCTTCTACGAGTAGGCGCCATCACGACCCCCGAGGGTGGGAAATCCGGGTCGTCACACATGTGGCTTTATTTCCATAAGTTTCGGCATTCCATCTGGCGTCCTTCATATTCCAACTCAGTTTCTATAAAAAAATGTGCCAAGAAAGAGTTTAATTTGATAAACATAAACCTTCATTTTCGGATCCCTCACAACTGAAATTGGATAGCTTAACAGTCTATTAACAATGTTTTACGGTCACCAATAGCACTGACTTCAACTCTTGGGATGAATATGAGGGATACAACCTAGACATTAAGATGTACGAAAAGAAAAAACACACTAACGAAAACAATCGTTCACTTATCATAAAAGAAAAAAAAAAGGCTAATAAAAGATAATAATTCACATACAATATACTGCACTACACAATAGCAATAAGATGCTCAGTATATGGAAAAATGGATTGAAAGCTAACCTTAAAGCCAGTCTTTTTGTATAGTTCCTGGCCAGGTATGTTGTCTGCATTTACATGAACAAATAGTTGCTTGAAACCTGCTTGTACACGCAGAAAATAAGATTAGAAGTAGTTCAGCAAAATTATTAAGAGGGACGGAAATTCTGAACAGGCATTATGAAGAGCACATTAAAAAGTTTAAAGCTGAAACAAGGCACCTTGTAAGGCGGCCGCATCAGCAGCCAAATGTATCATATTTGAAGCAATACCCTGACGTCGAGCAAACTTTGCAACACAAACATTTGCAATGTAAGCGTATTTATGTGAATCAAAGGGATCTTGACGTGCCAATATAGCAGATAACCTTTTGATTTCCTGGAGACAATGAGAGGAAAAGGAATTCAGTGGGTCCAGCACAACCCAGTACACATTTATCTCCTCTTCAACAGCAAGGGAAAAATACAGCTCAAGCTTGTTTTCTTCCCTTTTTCCTATTGAATTTTTTTTTTTTTTTTTAGGGGGGGGGGGGGGGAAGGGGGGTAAGGGGAAGAGAGAACACAATGAAAAAGACACAAACAGAATGACTTTGACCAGAAAAAGAAACAAAAGCAGGTAGGCATCCCCACTATTTGAACAGGACAACATACGCAAAGTTGCAATAGATTCAAATGCCACTTGTCGAGTCAAACAGTTCACGCCAATCACAGCGCAGAATAAAAGCAGATGCATTACAATTTAACATTCAACTAAAAAAAATTTAAGTTGGTACCCCTGGGTATCTCTCCCTTTGTACAAATTGTCGGATTGTCAGGTCCAAAGTTCCCACCACGCTGTTAAGTATTGTTCTTCTAACATTTTTCTCTTCCTTTTTGACCTGAAACATTTGAAGGCTGAGAAATATCCAATATAACTATCAACTTTTGAAAAGAACAATATCACATAACAATCATCTTACATACATGAAAGAAAATATCAAATTCTAAAAGAATAAATATCACATAACAATCATGTTGAGTACATAACAGACGTTCTCAAGTATGCTTATTACACTGAAGATTATATTTTGTGTAAAGTAGAACTCGTTAAGAAGATGTCAGCACTTGGAAGAAGCATTAGGCCACTTGGCTCAAAGTGGTGAAGTTTAATTGCTCAAAGGAGTAAGAATCTTCTTATCAAAATTCAAAATGTAGGAATAAATTTAACTTTTTTATCTGATAGGTGGTCTATCTGGTTCAAGGTTTAAACAGGATATTTCATTTTGAAGTTTTCGTGTTACTTCCTAGCTGGAATTCATTGGCAACATCCAGCACAATCTAACCGTATTCATTCCAAGTGAACGAAGGAATTGCTCAAAGGAGCAGACCTAAGCACTTTTGCAGTTTTTTTAATTGGAAAATAGGTGTTAAGTTCAGAAGCAGTTAACTCTTGTCCAAGAAGGAAATTTGTGAACACGTACCAAATAGTGATAGCCTGAAAAATGTTTCCTTTGCTCCAGATAATGTAGTATTAGTATAAGACTACTTAGGTAGTTGACAGCTTAATATGACATGAAGTGGTCTCATCTAACGCAAAGGCGGCAGGAAAAGTTAAGTTGTTAGCTTGGTTTGTCAGTCTTTTGTATGAGGTACTTAATTTCTTCAGCCTATGAACCAGCACCTAAAGTCACCAACTTCAATTCAGCTATTTGCATATAATAAATCAGAACCATGACTAGCACTGGCTACAGAGAAATTAGAGATGAGTCCCAATATTAAGGAAAAAAATCTCCATCAATACTTTCTACCAACAAAAATTGAAGAACCTTAGAATCTATGATATCGGCAACAGACGAAAGATTGACAGGCTAGACGCAAATCACTACATTTGAAATCAATGGTAAAATGGAAGTCATTCTAAAAATTGGGATGCCATCTAAATCAACTATGACTAACCAGTAGCAACTTGTGCATAAGCAAACCTAAGGAAGGATAAGGAAATTATCTAGAAGCCACTATACGTACCGCAACGAAACAAAAGCACTTCAAGCAATTTCCATCCTGACCAGAACATCTTCTCTTTAAAGCATAAAACTCCTGCACACAAATAGTGGAACAAAAAGAAAAGCAAAGAAAAATGAGGGTTTTAAGCAATACTAGCGGCAGAAATTAGAGCAACATGCGATGATCAATATTTATGCAAATGGAGACGAACATTACAGTAAAGGTGTTGCTATTTATATATACCAATATATGTCATTATCAAATGTTACATGTCTAATCAAAAGCAAGGTCATCAGCCACGTGAAACACCTTTTCTCAAATTAAAAATACCAACTTCTGTCCCAATAGCGATCCTAGAAAAAATATTTCATTTGTTGGCAGTGAAGCTCGACGTCAAATGAAACTTATAGTCCCAAATGTTAAATATTACGCTATTCGAAGTAGGCAAAAATCTGTTATCCTCTTTTGTCAAGTCTAAGTAAAATCGCATAAGCACTGAAAATGCAAGCTCACATCATCTTACATGTGAATTTTGCCTAAAGCTTTTACAGAAACGGGCTTCTTATAGCAGAGGATACAACTTCCATTTGTCACCGTACAATTACTGAAACTTCAGCCTCACGCTACTGATACAAACCACGAGTTGGCATGAGAAGAATAGCTCTCAGAATAAGAAACTGTTTATGATAAGGAGCTCTCACACTAAGAAATAGATATACTGCAGTGATCTCTATATGTGTTTCATCGAAATATGTGAGGGCCCGCTGAAGTTATTTCTAATTGGCCAACCTAAAGATATAGATAAAAGTTATGATAGGACAGACCATTGGAGCTAAGCCATGAGACGGGGCAATTTTTTAAAACAACTCAGTAACTGCTTAATGTTATTCTACTGAAGTCGTAGGGAAAAGGGGGAAATGTTTGGTGGTAAAATTTAAACTTTTAACCAAATAAAATTTAAACCGCTAACAAACAAAAGTTTTTTTTTTTTACTGCAACTGACCTGTTCGGCATACTTTCTTTTATATGCGTCAACATGCCTAAAATTAGCAAAAATACAGTTAATATTTACCATATAATAACTCAGACTTACATCTAGAAAACAATTTTAAACTAGTCCTAATTATCTGCGGGACAGGTGATAAGAGCAAGCTCTAACCTCATATAGGACACAGATTCCCAATGAGCTTCTGCCCGTAGCCAGGCTGCCGTCTACCATTGACAATAAGACAGAGAAACAAGAAAATACGAAATACTTTTAGGAAAAGTAACAAAGAAGAGCCGTGACATTTTTATTTAGAAGATCATAGAAGCAGCAGAACAAACCCAATATTCTTCATCCAGCACGACCTCACGAGCAATGAAACGACCAAAATTCCGCTTTTGCAATCCACAGTACCCGTCATCAGTCTGCTGCAGCCGGTTAAAAGATAGCTCGGGTAACTTCGCATTGTCCTGCTTTGACAGGGGTGTCTGCCAGATACTTTGGTCGTTATTGCAATGTACTTCAATATTTTTCCATCTATCATATGAAACGGGAAAAGCCTCCCTAGGAACAAATTGGATACCATCAGAGAGAAGAGAAAAGGCAGAAGTTAGATGGTTTTTTAGATGCCGAAAAGAATATAGCTCAATAAATCGTTTGCCTTTCATAGGATGAAGAAGAAGATATCTTTAGAACTTTAGCCTCTTTTCTTGGCATGTTCTTGACAACAACATTATCCCCAAAAACAAATTTAGAGATTTTCACATACACTGCACAAATGTTCAATAACGCGTCAAACTAGTATCAAGCGTATTATAAAAAATGGTCCGGCAACCCAACCTTAATTATTTGGAAACATAAAAGCACTTAAAATAACTTATTTGCAACTACTCTGTTTGCAATCTGGTTAAGAACCAATTTTATTCACAAGAATACCATTAGCTTCATGTATATCCCACAAATTTGATTTGGGATTATATAAACCGCAGACTAGTTTGGGTCGGCTATATAAATCTTCTATGACTACACAACTCCATTTGACCCATTTCATTCAGAATCACAAATAAAAGAGTCAACTTCATTTACAAGCAAACATTTAAACGTATTAAAGAGATACCAAATTTCAGAAAACAATTAGCTGCATATATATCCACCAATTAAATTTGGGTATTAAGTAAATCACTAAATCCCGAACTAGATGGATTCAGCTATATAAATCTTCTATCTATTCCACTCCATTGGACCAACTTCATTTAGAATCACAACTAAAAAACCAACTTTATTTACATTCAAACCTTTTAAATAAATAGTACCAAGTTCTAAAAACCCATCATCTTCATATATATCCACCAATTCAATTCCTGATATTAAGCAAATCACAAACTAGTTCAGGCCGGCTATATGAATCCTCTATATCTATTTCACTTAATTCAACCCATTTCATACAGAATCACAAATTACAAAAACAAACTTTATTCAAAATCCAAACATTTAAACAAATACTAAGTTCTAAAAAAACCAGCAGCTTCATATATATTAACTAAATCACAAACTAATTTGGACCCATTTAAAAAAGAACATCATAATTACCTGCTAAAAATGTTGACAACAACAAGGGGTTTATTTTTCCCTTGTTTAGAGAAAACCCAAGTAAATTGAGGCTGTTGAAGTTTGTATTGAGGCAAAAATTTACTTCTCAGCTCCATTTTTTTTTTCTTCTTTTCCTTTTTCTTGTTGAAAAAAATGGGAAAGATTCAAACTTTTTTGTTAAGATCCTAAGAAAGAGGAGAAGAAAAAAGAGTAAAGGAAAAAAAAGAGAGGGTCAACATTACTATTTCTTGTGTAGGTACTATCCATTTGTTCCGGGAAAAATTAGGGAAAGAGAGAGAAAAAATAAATAAATGGGATAAATATATATCCACTTTATCCACTTTCCTAATTTTTGTAGGGTCTATGTTGGCCCCACATAATGATATTTTAATGCAGCCAATGTGGATTGATTTTCTGATAATCCCTCCAGTTTTAATTTAGACGAAGTAATTTGATACGACATGGAATTTAAAAAAAAGAAAAGACTTTTAAAATATGTAGAGTGCGTTTGGTACGAAGGAAAATATTTTTCGAAAAATATTTTTCAATTTTCCCATATTTAGTTGGCTTAAATATTTTGGAAAATATTTTTCTTATAAAAAAAAATATTTTCTTTATCAAGAGAAGGGAAAACATTTTCCAAAACTCCTTCTCAACCTTCCCCACCCTCACCAACCCACCCACCCCTCTCTCCAAAAACGGCTTCTTTTTTTATCAAATTTTGTTTTTCTGTTACCACCCACCCTACTACCCCTCCACCCCACCCCCACCCCCACCCCCACCCCTACCCCCTCCCACAACAAAAAAAATTTACCTTATTTTCTTTTTTTGCAATTTCAAATTTCTGTTTTTTCGTTTTTCTGCACCACCTAGAGGTGGGCATCGGTCAGTTCGGTTCGGTTTTGAATATTATCGGTTATCGGTTTAAAAACATCATAACTCAATAACCAAACCGATAAGATATTGGTTATCGGTTATCGGTTAATCGGTTATCGATCATTATCGGTTCGGTTATCGGTTTACTCGATAAGATAAAACAACTAAAACAATTTTGCAATATATAAAACTGTCGAGTTCTCAATTATCTTGAGCCAGAAGTCAAGAAATAGATCAGATTTCCGTTGTCTTTGACAACTTTCTGATGCATAAATATAGGATTACAAAGGTGGAATGGAATATGATTATATTGTTAATAAAACGTGGTCTTTGTATCCTTAAGAACAGTTAAACAAAAGTTTACTGCTTAGGATTCTTAATATTCCTTCAAAAAGAGAAACACTTGTTAAAATTATATGTGGATAATGCAACAGCACCAAATTTATACATTTCTTGTCAAAGCCCACTTCATTTCTCATAAAACAGAATCTCCAAAAACATTTAAAGACTAGACAAACGATTAGAACAAGATCTCAAACAATAGCAGCGCGCACACACACAGCACAACCCCCCCCCCCCCCAAAAAAAAAATCCAGAGCCAGAATGCTTTCAAACAAACTAAGAAAAAGATGAAGATGAAGCAACTAAAAACTTACACACCGGCCTGAGTCTTGACGGGCTGACTGGTGAGGGCGTGATGCGACTGACGAGTGACGCCAGCCTGAGTCTTGACGGGATGACTGGTGACTGGTGAGGGCGTGAGCCGTGGTGAGGCGGAGAACTGTTGAGGTTGGGCTGTAGGGGTGCGGCGGAAAAATTGAGAAACTGAGAAAGAGAAACTGACTTACTGAGAATTGAGAAAGAATAGGAAAAACCAATTATGAAACCCTAGTATATGTATATACTTAAGGGTAAACTAGTAATTAGTTAATTCTTATTGGGTTATCGGTTTTTACCCAATAACAAAATTGCAAACCGAGCCCGAACCGATAACCCAATTAAAAAAAAATTAACTGTTACCGAACCGTTAACCCAATAACCCAATACCGATAACCCAATAAATAATTAATGGTTCGGTTTATCGGTTTTACCCGATATATGCCCACCCTAGATTGGTGCAGTCTTCAGTAANAAAAGTACTTTTTTTTTGTAATTTCAAATTTCTGCTTTTTTCATTTTTTTTGCCCCCACCCCCAAAAAAAAATATTTTTTAAATCTATTTTCAGTTTTAGTTTTTTTTTTTTAGGTTAAAAGGTTCAAAATTTTTACAAGTTCAAAAGTTATGAGTTCGAAGGTTTATGTTTTTGGAAGTTTACGGGTTCGAAATTTCGCGGTTTCGAAAGTTTAGCGGTTCGAAAGTTTATGAAATTTGTGGATTAGGAAGGTTGTTGGTTTGAAAGTTTATGGCTTCATGTTTATTATATCTAAATTATTATGAATACTCTTGAGAAAGTCATTTTCCTTAATTTGCGTCCCAAACACCGGAAAATGAATAAGATTACTACTTGTTTTACAAAAAAATATTTTTTTGGAAAATATTTTCCACGGAAAATATTTTTCGTTATACCAAACACACCCGTAGTCTTAAAAGTTTAAGGGGTAAAAGCTTTGTGGGTCATGATATTTGTGTGGTTATAAAAGCTTCTCATTAAAGTTATTTTCAAATTTAGAAATGTGTCATTTATTTTAGAACCGACTAAAAAGGAAAGTACCTCACCTAATTTGAAACGGAGGGAGTAATAATTTTAGTGGGCGTTTGGACATAAGAATCGTAAAATTCCGAAAAAAAGTAAAAAAATTCTAGTGAAAATGGTATTTGAAAATTAGAGTAGGGTTTGGACATTAATATAATTTTAGGTTATTTTGAATTTTTGTGAGTGGTCTGAATGAAAAGTTTGAAAAATAACTTTTAGAGTTTTTCAAATTTTCGAAAAATTTTAAAATTTATCTTCAAGTAAACATTAAAAAATTTATGGCCAAACACTAATTTTAAATTTTTTTTTTTTGGAAAAAAGTGAAAATATTTTCATGGCCAAAAGGGCTCTTAAAGTTGTATTTACAATCGAAGCGGATAAGTACAAAGTAGTGACGGAATCACAAATTTAAATAATTGAGAAAAAACATAAAATAATCACATTTAAGATAACTTGCTTCAAATGAATTCTACTATTTATATAAATACAAAAGGTTGTTTTATCCTTTTTAAACTGTGTAATTTTTAGTAGAGGGATTTAATTTACCTAAAGGTAATATGCCCATTGGGGAAGGAACTAGTAAATATTGGACTTATACGAGTGTTTAGATAAAAAAAATAATTCAAAAAGACATAACTACTAGAGTGAATCTAGAAATAAAAGAATTTATTTACCTTTAAATTGATAACTTTTGACGTTTTCGTGTCTCTTCCTCTATACGTTTATTTTTTCTAAGGAAATTAGCAGCTATGTCTATTTATAAGTAACTTATTATAAAATTGGCTAATTCATAAAATATTACTAATGTTATCCAAATGTTACCAATATTAGCCAAGTAGCTATTTGTAGCAAAAAAAATTATTTTTTTTTATTTTTTTGAGTGAGTGTTATTAGAATAAATTGGGTACATCTTAAGGAGCTCGGATCTCAATTTTGGGATGATTTGGTAGAGTTTTGAGGTGGTTTGAATTAAAAATTCGAAATAGAAAATGAACATTAAAATAAAGTATATGTGTAGCACACTGTATACCACATATGTATCATATTTGTATTAAATATGTATCACGTGTATATCCATGTATACCTGTATGTGGGATACATGCGTGATACATGTGTCGTAGAAGAATTTGTTGAACTCGATTTTAACTACGAATTTTGATACCAAATCAGTCCAAATCACCTCCAATCTTCCTTAAATTTTGTATATTGACTCAGTGTACCAAAAATACACTGTGCAGGTAGGTAAAAAAATAAATTATATGTATATATACTATGTGTTGACTCCCCTTAATTTCCTGGTATATTTACTTTTATATATTTTGACACTTAATGAAGATTTTGCCTTCGTCACTATATTGACTCATCCATATATTTTCAATGCATTTCAACCATACCCATTGTTGATACCCAATTTTTCCCTAAGCATTTTTATACCCAAAATACTTCCAAAATAGCATATTGGTGCATATATAAGCACACCCAAGAGTTTTGGCATTTTTAACGATTTTTAAAACCAATTTATTGCCTATTTTAATACAACAAAATCCAATGATTATTCCCAAAATTATCATTTTTGGTGAATAATTCATTTTATTCTCACATTTACACCAAAATATAATTAAGGTATTTTTTTTTTTGCATATTTTTACGAATTCATTTGGTGTTTTTAACGCTAAATTGCACACAACTGCAATTATAGCCTATATTACGATTAATGGCATTTTTACACTTATAAAATTATTTCCAGTATTTTCAGATTAATGTTTATATATTATTAATTAGCTCAGTGCTTTTAATTTGTTTAAAATCATTTTTAACTATTTTTATATAAAAAATTAAAGGGGAAAATCGGCTATTTAACACATAGCCATTTCAATTGCAAATATAGCATCAATTTAATCCCCAATTAACCCCAACTCAGCCCAAAAAATACCCAGCCCAATTACCACTTGCAACCCGATCCATACCCCTTCCTATCATACCCAACCCGGTCCCCATTTAACCCATTTAAAAGATCAACGGCTCCCCTCTTCCCTTTCCCTTTTTAATTCAAACGACCCTAAAACCCTACCTCATTTTTCTCGACCGCCGCCTCTGAATTCCCTCCTCTCTCAACTCTCTCTCAACTCACCTCAAACCCTAGCCGCCGCCTCTCACTGAAACCCTAATCTATGGCTTCTCAGGCTCATCGGAGGCCTGGCCTCTCATGGCTTCTGCGTACTCATTTTCTAAAGGTCCTATGACCAGATCTTGAAGGGTTCCGACCAAGCCTTTGCTCGATGACTGTTCTCCGGTCGTCTTCAACCTTTGTCCGGCCAGTCATGGTTATTCGAGTTTGACCTTCGATTTTTCTGCTCAGATCGATGGTTTCCAAAGCCTTTTCATCGCCTGGGTTTCTTACGAAACCCTAATCTCTAAGGTTCCTTCGATTTATTTCTAGATCTGCTCCGGATCTATGTGTGTGTGAACCTTCTATGCATTTTTCTCGAGTCTCTTTAATTTTTTTTTTTTTTTTTGCTTTCAAAAACTCTTTATTCTTCAACTAGGGTTTCATGTTAAGTTATTTCGAATCTCTTCTCTGATTCTCGACATGTTTTACTGTGTTTTGTTAGTGTTGTTTTCTATCTGAGTTAGCATGTTAAAAACCCTAATTTTTGGGGATTTTGTTCGAGTTTCTTAGTCTGTTTGTTAATATTCGTTTGATTTACC